TTTTTGATTTGTAACTGTCTTTATGTATTTCTTCTTTTTAATTGTTGTACGCTGCCCAGTCACTTTCTGTGAGATGGGCGGCTATATAAACATGGTAAATAAATAAAATAAATAAATAAATAGACAACTGTTTGCTGGAGAAAGTGGACAGCATGCAAGCAAGCTATTTTAGGGACGAAGCATTTTAAACATGTATTCAACCAGGAAAGGGCATGCTTGTGAATATACAGTGAATATTGGGGTAATTAAATAAGATGATATGTTCTGATAAGGCAGTATCTTTCACGAATTTACTCAATTTTACAACCACCCTTCACGTATTTGCATTCTTTAGGATGCAGGGAAGGCTGGTGATCTCGGACAGCTTTTACTTCTTCAATTCCTGTTATCCAGGGCTATTGCTTGGCCCAGCTTCAGCTTAATCTGGGAGATGTGTCTTGGGCGGTTCTCTGGGGCCCTGTTCCTAGAGTTACTCTCTCTCCTGTTTATGCAGAAATTCACCAAAAGTGGCCATGACACTTGGCAGCGATATGGAAGTGGTTTCTGAAGCATACAAATTCAATTAGTATATTAAATGTACAGATAATGACCATATAAACCATGTAAATAGGAGGTAACAGATTATAAAACTTTACTAGGTACAAAAGGAGTCGCAATGAAAGTGTCTAGACAAGTAAACATGTCTGGACCTGCAATCAAAAACGTTGCAATGTCCACAATACCAGGTGCTTCCAAAAAGTAGGAGGTCTTATTTTAGAAAACACGGATATCAGAACGTATACCGGAAAAGAGCAGGTGGCTTGCAAGTGATCTAACAGCACAGAGAGTGAAGTTCCTAATTCCTATATTCTACTTCTGGACATGATTTTATAAATTGTCCTTGTTCATCCAAATTGAAGCAAAATAAACAGAACAATAAAAGTTCTGAGGGCTTAGAGTCGAAATGTGGGGAAATCTCCCTTGTTCTAATTCCATTCCAGAAGATGTTTTCAGTAACTGCCTGGCTTATAAACAAAATCAATTATACTGTGTTGCTCACTGGGCATAAAAAAAAAAAGAGAGATAAACACAGTTGACCCAACAAAATCTGAGCTGAAACAACATTTAAACTAAGTGCAGATGACTAAAAAAGGCAGAGCCTTCAAACAACTCTCCTTGATAGATTGGTCTCCAGCTATTCACAGCAAAGAAAGAAGAGGGCGGCTTTCTCAAAAACAAAACAAACAGCCATGCTATACAGGTAGTCCATGACTTATAACCATTTGTTTAGCAACTGTTGGAAGTTATGACAGCACTAAAAAGACTGACTTATGACCAGTCCTCGCACTTATGACTGTTGCAGTGTCCCATGGTCATGTGACCAAAATTCAGGCACTTGGCAACTGGCATGTATTTACAATAGTTGCAGCATCCCAAGGTCATGTGATTGCCATTTGCAACCTTCCCAGCTGGCTTCTGACAAGCAAAATCAATGAGGAACTATTTGATTCAATTAACAACTGTGTGATTTGTTTAACGACAATGTGATTCACTTAATGACCATGGTGGTTCACTTAACTGCTGCAAGAAATGTCGTAAAATTGGGTGTGGTCCTGTGATGCCTCGCTTAACGACTGCATACTTAACAACAAATTTTCCAGTCCCTATTGTGGTTGTAAATCGAGAATTACCAGTACTTATTATATAAACAGGACAATCCAAGTTATACTATTCATTAATAGTAAATCTGGGGAGAACTGGGAAATCCAAGTAAGCAATTAGAAGAGAAAACATGAGTTTTCCTTTGTTTCTGATAAATAGGATAACGAAAGTGATGAAGGTAACAGGGTTCCATGGATGCTAAAAGCCAAAATATATGAAACCTGTTCTGTATGATGTAATTTTGGGTTGATGGTTCTGATGAGAAGGTACAAAGATACTTAGTACCAGACCATACTTCACCTAGCTGTTTTCAAGTTCGTTGACAACATGAGTAATTTTCTGCTAACTGCAAGAAGAGATCATTCCCAACATATTGCTAACTAACTGATTACTCCATCTCCTACTCCTCATATCTCGAGATGCCAAGGAGTGGACTTGCAGCTATCAGCGAGCCTTCAAAATTAATCCAGCATAAATGTTACACTGAGTTTTCAATGCTGCCACTCCCAATTATGGCTTCCAGTTCTTGACTTAGAAAACATTCCAAAGCAGAAGCAATATTGTGTGCCTCAGATTTACAAATGTACAAACCTGAGAGCCCATTTTTCCTCCCTGAATGTTATGCAGTTGATGGACCCTACAGTACCTCTGAACATTCTGGAAAGAACGCTCAACCTTCAGTCAAAAAACAAAGCAAAAAAACAAAAAAATCCTCAAAATGATTTTCCTCTGGTTTTGTACTGACAATGTCACCATTAGATAATAGTAAATTTGGACTGAAAAGATCAACATACCACTAGTGTGTTTTTTGCTAAAAATAATGATCACAGTTAATGACGCCGTAGCTCTTCAGGCTAACAAAAATGTCCAAAAACAGATAAGGCCAGCCTCAAGCTTATGTCTACTTTTGAAAATAATATCAGCATGGA